CGCGTAGGGAAAACGGCCATCGAGTCGGTAGGAAAAAAAAAAAAGGGAAAAAAAAGAAAAAAACAAAGAAAAGAACGAAAACGACGCGTCACCTGACGCGTTCTGAAGTTGACTGGGACTTGAAGTTCCCAGTAGTGCTACAGGCGCCCGTTTGAAACGGGCGGTCACTTTTAGGTAGGTTTTTTTTCTTTCTTTCTTTTTGTTTTTTTTGTTAGATGCTTAGATTCTTTTTATATTTTTTTCTTAGATTTGGTTTAAATCTTTATTTTTTATTTATTTATTTTTTTTGTACCCGTTCGTTTTAAACGAACGGGCAGATATGTCTGTGCTGACTGTTTCGTCGGACTTATACCGACTCATCAGGGGGTTGTGCCCCGATTGCCCATCTGCTAATGGGCGAAAAAATCTGCCACCTACGGGCGGCTAGGTTCGGGGTTAGAGAGAGAGAGAGAAAGGAAGACCCCAACTTACCTACGCCCGTTGGGGGTTGAAACGGGCTGCAGCGTTGCTTGCACGCCCGAACCTGGCGCTGAAAGCATCCGGGTACGGGCGCAGGGCAAAAAGGAAAAGAAGGCCCTGTTGAGCTTGACTCTAGTTCGACTGTGTGAGATGACTTGAGGGGGGGGGAAGGTGCTCGTTCGATTTTTAAACGACGAGCTGCCCCTGCACAGAGAAAATGAAGGGGGATAGAAATAAAGAAAAAAAAAGGGGGAGAACGAAAGAAAAGAAGAAAAAAAAAGTAACGGCCGCGAATGTGGCCGCGGCCGTGGAACAGATGCAGCCCCCAGAAGCTTCTAGGGGCTGATGGGACTGCGCCTGTTCAGTTGAACAGGCAGCCCTGAAATGGCTTGGTACTGCCATTCTGGACTGCGTCTGACCGTGATGGCGCCCAAGTGCATTACTAAAGCCAGGGACTTGATGTTCCTAGTAGAACATCAAGATTCTTAGCCCTCGATCGAAGTTCAGATCAAGGGCTAGGCTTAACCCCGTTTTTTGGGCTGAGCCTCAAGTGGCTGCCTACCACTCAAGCCCAACTATAAAAGCACGGCTGGCCAGCAGCATCCTCACTAAGTTGAGGTGCTGCCCACATTCTGATAGAGTGTGGAGAGGAGAGCAGCGTTATGCTGCCAGAGTGCTGAGGGCCAGCGAGTAAGAGGAGTGGAGTGGAGGTCTGCAGTGAGAGGAGGAAGAAGAGGCTGCCATAGCCATCGGGGTGCGTGGTGCCAGCGGGAGGTGCTGTTGTTTGCAGCAGGTCCTCGGCAAGAGGCGAGGGGAGACTCTGCCCGTTTTGCACGGCGGCGGCAGGTTCGGCTGGCGGTATAGGGGAGATGTTGCGCGGCTTTTCCGGCGGCGGCATCCATCATTGAGAAGTGTGTAGGGGAGGTGTTGTCCGCTCGGCACGGCAATGGCGGTGCTTTATTGGAGGTAGTGCGGAAGCGCTGCCGAGATTTTGCGGCGGTAGCGGGGATTTTTTTATGGTGACGCGGAAGCGCTGCCGGAGTTTTGCGGCGGCGGCACTGACTCTAACGGCGGTGGTGCGGAAGAGCTGTCGGTTTTTCATTGCGATGGCGACAGTTCTTTTTAACGGGAAGTATTGTTCATCTGGCGGCTCATCGGCGGCACCATTGTGAGGAAAACAATGTTGCGTCACAATGGAGGTAGTGTTTGTGTATGATCCGGCGGTAGTGTTGCGGGGCAGCCATGGTACCGGGTTTTGACGGTGCAGCAAGCAGTGGTCCGTGTATTCTTGTGGTGCGCAGTGGCTATGGTGGATCCCAGTGTGGCCTAGAGGTTGGGCTGGCGTTGGTACACGTTTGGGTCTGTGCGGCAGTGGTGCGTGGACCGCGGTATGAATAGAGTGCGGAGTAAGTGCACACGACAATGATTATTGGGCGTGCGACATATACGGTTTTGAGCCAGGGCCACTCTTTATTTTTTTGCGGCGCGCAGTGCAAGGGGTTTCAAATTTTGGACCATCTGGTATTGCGGGTGATGGTATGAGACTGAGTTGAGATTGTTCAGGATGTTGTGACGATGTGGGTTGAATCATGGGAGCGCCCTCTTTGAGGATTATCTCACTCAGATATCTGGGTGGATCCAACCTTGGAGTGATCAGACACTTGGAGAAAGGCCACAACCTGTGGAGTTGTGAGCCGCGCACTTTGGACTTCAGCGATTGTCCGAGTCCTTTCAATTTTTATTGGAATACTACTCGGCTTCTTGAGTGAGCCGGATCGAATCTCACTCACGGTCAGTTGATTGACTCAGATTCCTTTCACACCTGTGTGAACCCACACTTTGCTTGACCTTGTTATTTTGGATGTTCAGAAAGAAAGGTAGAGGAAAGTAGTGTGAGTCATGCATGTGAATGGAAAGGTCTGACTTGAGTTTGGGATTGTACTGTTTTCCTTTGGACTTGTTTGCTTTGCATGCTGTGCAGGTAGGTAGATGGATGTTTGCTATGGAGACTGACTTTGTCTGTTGGAGAAAAAGAAAAGGATTGTTCTCTTTTTATCTTCCACCTGCCTGCATGACAAAAGTAATCATATTTTGAAAATGAGTAATTTCAACGGGTACCGTGAAAGAAAACTTGTGGGTATAATAAAAATGCAGTCAATTGAACTTAGTTTTTCCGGGATCGACGTATTCTATCCCAAATAATTTTATCTACCTGTACCTGTCAAAAAGATTCTCATTCTCTATCTCATTCAATTTTTTTACGTCTAAGTTACCGTGAATCGATAAGGGATGAGAATAATTAAAAACTACTTGCGCTAAACGCATTCTGTTTCTCTTGGAAGCATCCAAGGCGGGGGTTCGTATGCTTTCGGAGCCGGCCCTGTTATCGACTTGGAGTGGACCCGACTTGTCGGGCCGGCTTGTCGGGGGTGGTACTTTACCGACTCGGTGGTGACGGCCCAACCTCTGAGATCCGGGTCTTCGGGCTCGGGCGAGGGGAAGGAGTATCCACGTACCACTTCCTAGAGGGAGGGGCATGCAACACTTCAAGCCATATTCCTGATTAAGAGTCATCCGCGAAGCAACCTGTCGTCCAGGATTATTGGATATATATGGAGACAGGTGTACCCGCGTTTAATCTTAGGGCAGCGATAGGGTGGAATGAATAACTTTGGCAGCGCTTCTCATCAAGTCAAAACTAAGGCGGCCGACTACCATGTCGGCTACATTTAAGTGATGGTCGGAAGCCAACTTCTCGTTGGCAGCTGTATAATTGTTTTGTGGAGTTCGACCTGGGGTGGTCGTGTTTTATTTCGATCTCATGTTACCGAATGCATCAGATGATGATTTTGATTCTTCCAGTTACCATTTTAGATTGGATTTACATTTCTGTCGACTACGGTTGACTCCTTTCGAAGAAATTATGTGTGTTTTAATTTTTCTTTTGATTGTGTCTAAGGGACTAGGATGAATGTTGGGTTTCACGCTTGGTTGCGACCGTCCTAATCGACCGACGTTTGCTTCGTACTTAGGAGATCAGCGCCCTAAGAAACGGACAACGCTCGGGTCCGCTTGGCGTTAACCAAGCGTACCTATACTCTAGCGAGTGAGCAAGCGCCCTCGACTGACCTACCTCTGCAATTGCATCTAAAAGCTTTCACATGTGGGTCAGTAGCTCGGTAGGGATACGCCCCTAAGGGTGGTGACAACCCTTTAGGGAGGATAGCTTATGCCCTGCGAAAACCTATCCTGTCGTAGGGGACCGCATGATGTATAGCTGGCGCACCCGGCTAGAGTGGCGAAGGGACAATGCAACCACGCCCGTCTCGGCGGTTCGCGGGATTATTTCTGCATTGTCCTAAGCTGTCTCTTGAATTTGTTCTGGTCTAACTCCTGCGTGACATAACCGGGAGGGCCCTCGTTCACGCGAGGGCCGATGCGCTCGACAGCGTGACAGAACTAGGCACCCTCAGCGACCATTCGTTTATGTGGAGGTGGACGTCCTCCTCTTGGTCCAGGAACCCGTCGACTGGTGGGGTATCCTCAATCGACTCCTGATTCACCCTGTCTCAGTTGATACGGCTCAACCCATCTGCTCTGTTTTTGTCCCCTGGAATCCTATCCAACTCAAAGTTAAACATCTAAATGTATGTCAACCACCTCGCGATGGTTGGGTCAGATGGAGTATAACTTTTCAGGGAACACGCAAGCGCGGTAGGGTCCACCCTCAAGATGAGCCTCCAGCCAAAGATATAGTTCCGAAAGGTCCTTAGGCAGTGGAGTACCGCCAACGTCTCCTTTTTAAACTGGGAGTAATTCCTCTCAGTCGTATTGAGAGTACGACTTTCAAATCTTAGCGGCCTCTCCTTCCCATCCGCATCTGCCTAGATCAGGACCCCTCCTAAGGCAGTTGGTCCAGCGTCCGTTTCGACAACGAATGACTTTTCCTCCATAGCCTCATAATTTGGCGCTCCCAACACTAAGCCTCCCTCCTTCAACTTTCGCTTTATTCTTTCCACAGCCTTTTCCTGGTCTTCTCCCCAGACTCATTCTTGATCCTGACGCATCAGCTTCCTCAAATGCTCCGTCTTGGTGGCGAAGTCCTTTACAAAGCTCCTCCAAAAACAACAGGTCCCAAGGAATCTCCTCACGTCCGTTATCGACTGAAAGGGGACTGGCCAGTTTAGGATCTTGTATGTTTTCTTCACATCTGGTCTTCGCCCCTTCTCGTTGCAGACAAAGTCCAGAATCGTGGCCTCCCTCATACAATGCTTTGACTTGGGGCCGCTCGCCGTCAGGTTGTGTTCTTCTGGCAGACCCAGAACCTGATCGATATCCTGGATGTGCTTCCACACGAACCGCCTCACTCCTAGCATCACTTCGTCTTCCTCCTTCTCCTTTGGACCCTTGACCGCCAGATCGTCAATGTGGACTAACCGTCTGTATGACCCTAATCATGTGCCTTTGCACCATCGCCACCG